CACCCTGAAGTCAAGAAAAGGGTTATAGGTGAATTCAAGAGAATGAAGAAATCTTAAAGTCCAAAACTCAGTGGAGGAAATATCATCAAGGCAATAAACACCTGGGCAATTCCAGTCATTAGGTACACAGCTGAAATAGTGGACTGGACTCAAGCTGAAGCAGAAGCCCTGGATAGGAAGGCTAGAAAAGTAATGACAAGGAATCATGCCCTTCATCCATGCAGCAATGTTGACAGACGCTATTATCAAAAAGCATAAGTGGGCATCATATGTTACAAGTACACCAGGCATTTGAACAGAAAAAACAGCATCGGAAGAATATCTGAAAGACAATGAAAAGGATGCACTGAAAGTAGTATATCATGAAGGCTTAGTGAAACCCCCAAAAGACCAAATTGACTTATAAGGAAACTAAAGAAAAACTAAAGAAAGAATAGGAAAGAAATATGGCAAGGCAAAGTATTACATGACCAGTACATGAAAAAAAATCTTGCAGGCAAAAAAGATAACAAAAAGACTTGGCAATGGCTAAGAGCAGGAAAGTTGAAGAACAGATTCTAGGGAGTAAATTAAAGAGTAAATGCTTGGATGATTGCCAAAAGATGTGTTCCTGGAAATACTCTTGTGTACCAAGATACTAAAAATTGCATTAACAATATTTATCAGCTATTAATTAACCTTTAACTGACTTTTTATTAACAAAAGACATTTCTAACCATGCACGCTTCATGGTAATAAACATGCTTAATTTCTGGATTTTTTTTAAAAAAAATCTTATTTGATTCAGTCAAACAGATACATGTTTTGTATAAATTACATCACTTTTATATAGCAGCTCATTTATTAAACATATCAGAAGTTGAAATATTACTAGTATTTGTTATAAAATCTAGTTGACTTAGTTCTCTCTCCCACTCACCCCCTCTCTGTATATATATACATAATAACCAAATAACTAAAGCTTCATGTATATGTACATACCATATATATTACCCATCTAATATTAGCTGTTGCTTGTGGTTGGTATAACTTCATAGCTGTTGCTCACAGTTGTTGAGAAGCATTAGTATATTTGGTTAATATATTAACCAATTAAACTAAAGCATCTCAACTGTGAGCAACAGCAATGAAGTTATACCAACCATAAGCAACAATTATGAGTAATAGACTGACAAAAACAAAATGGAAAACAGGAAAAAAACATAATAGATTGACAAAAACAAGATGGGAAAAATGCGAATTGTATCTTCCACAATAGCTATATACAAGCATTTAGAAGGAGAACTGTCTCATTACCAATTATTGAACCCCTGCTCTTATATTTCTGGAACATAGACTTGTGAGTCACACCTATTTAGAAGCAAGCTTATTTTCTATCCTTTATATAACTACTGTCATTAAAAAAAATTAGAAACTTAACATTAAGAAAAGAGACCAAGTAATATCCCCTAAGGATAGCTTACTACCAGGGCAGGGACTTTACACACCTCAGTCTATTTTGAGCTTTCCACCCCTCACCCAAACACGTATCAAATTAAATATCTGCAAACATACTCCTCCCAAAGAAGTCAGGAATTGTCTGTCTCAGATTCCTCACTGTGGATGATGTGTACATTAATATTATAAGGAATTTATACTAATTCACTGTGTATAGTATGTGACAGGATTTCACAACTTTGATTACAGAAACATTAGTTACATCCCTTACTTATTATCATGATAAAACCTGAAATCATGGGATCTGAAAATTATGAAAGGCTATAGTCCTATACACTGGAAAGAATTTGCAAGCAGAACCAGGTTCTCTGCCTGGTTGCTGGGTGGGCATGGCTATAGTGGGCGTGGCCTACCAGGAACTTCCGGGAGGGCCATTTTTTGCCTTTCCCAGAGTCCAAAGGCTTCCCTGGGGCCTCTGGGAGGGAGAAAATGGCCTCCTCCGGGCTCCAGAGGGCCTCCAGAAGCTGGAAACAGGCCTATTTCCAGACTTCTGGAACTTCCCGTTTGGCCCATTTTTCTCCTTCCCAGAGCTTCCGCGTGGTTCCTGCACTTACCTACATCCAGAACAGGCCACGTGGAGACTCCTGGGAGGGTAGGAGTGGACGGGGCCACCAGTTCAACTACCAGTTCAGCGAACCAAATTTAAATGTAACACCCGGTTCACTCTAACTAGGCCGAATTGGCTGAATCCCACCCCTGAGGAGAACCTTATTATGTTAATCAGGTTTCAGGATGTGCAAAACACGGAACATTTCAGAGATCTCTGATCCGTGTCATTGTTTGTCTCTTTTCAAATGAAATCTGATCAAAGATGTTCACCATCTCCTCCAATCCTAAAAAATATTTCAGTACTATATTTACCTTGCTGTTTGTATAGACCAGGAATGTCAAACTCAAGGCCCACAGGCCAGATCTGGCCCTCGGAGTGTTTAGATCTGGCCCGCGTGACCGCCCTGGAAACAGTGAAGGACCAGCCCACAGGGCCTCTGTCAGCTAAAAAGGAGCTCGGGAGACGATGTACAGCCCTCCCAGGTTCCATTTTCAGCCGTGATGGCTTTCTGCAGCCCTCTGCAGTGAAAAAGGAACTTGGGGGGGGCCTACACGTGGCCTCCCGAGCTCCGTTTTCACTGCAGAGGGCTGCAGGAGGCCATCACGGCCGAAAACTGAGCTGGGAGCCCATTTTCACTGGTAGAGTGCTCAGGCCACCACAGGCACCCCCAACACAAGTGACATCAAGCAGGCCACGCCCACCCTGGCCACACCCACCCCAGCCCCTCATGGTAAAACATAATCCTGATCCGGCCCTCAATGAAATCAAGTTTGACACCCCTGGTATAGACTGTAGGAACCCATTTCCTCGAGCTCATAATGTCTGTTATTTTGCCATAAGCTTTTAATTATAATTATATTTTGGGGGAAATATGCAGCCTTGATTTATAATGTTATTATCACCATTACCATTATTAAATATGGTCATTTAAATTTATATCCATAGATCATGCACAGTGGGCTGATCCAATTCAAAAGCTCATTAAAAATTGATGGCTAGAGCTACAGAATTTACAATGGTTCAGAAGAACCGGGAAATCTTATAAAAACCAAAGCTAATAATAATCCCAAATTTACTGGAGGACATGACATTAGACAAAGTAGCTGATATATCCAGCAACCAACCCATTCTTCTTGCAGACTTTCTGAAAATAATACTTGAATACATTTATTCCATGAATTAGGACTGGGTTTTCTTTCTGCTATCTATCTGTAAAGAAAAAAACATTTTATGAGGGCATAGTTAGCCCTCCGAACAAGATGCAAGATAGTGGCCAAAATAATTTGCTTAGGTTGGCAAAATAGCTTAAAGGCCAAATGTGATTATAATTGCAGCAAAGCAATTAGGAACTGTTTTTTGGTTAAGTCAATAGTAGCCAAGGGACAACCTGAGCAAACCTAGAACTGTGAGGAACAGAAGTTTAACTCTTTCCTTCCTTATCACAGACTTTTTAAAGACTTATTTGCATTTTCTAGGGGAAATATGTTGGCTGATCCTAATGCAGGATAGCAATCCTGACATACATATTCCAAAGAATTCACGTTGTTTGCATATATCTCAAACTCAAATTGTCTCAGTCTGCTTTTTTTTTCCTTTCCAACTTCAGTTCACACCTATTCCAACATCTTCTCTTTACACTATAGAATTTTTCCCCAGAACAGTATAAAATACACAGCTTTAGTTTCAAAATCACCTCCATCTCCTCCAATCCAAAAAACCCCCCAAAAAACTGCTGGTCATTTCAACATTACATCTAACATTTCATATCCCCACATCAATACACATGCTACTTAAATTCCATTCCGAATTTACTTCTTTCCAATCTGGGGAGGAAAAAACCCAGCAACTCCCAAAAATCACTTTGTTTCTGAGTAGACATGTCTAGGACTGCACTCTTGGGTTAAATAACCCAACATGAAAAGGGGGCTTGCATATTTGTGCTCAGAAGCAGGTCCAGAGATTTATTTTGGATTTGCTCTCACAGGTAAGCAAATTTGGGACTGCCATTCCATGTGTGGCTTTTTGTAAACCCCAATCCCTTTCCAGTAAAACATCTCACCCCATTCTCTTTCCTCTGTCCAAATTTGAATAAAATTAAGAGGACCCACAGCTGTCATTTAAGCCAGTAGCCCATACTGTTAACATTGCTTTTAATTTAAGATTAAGCCCTGGAGTAGTCGAGATGTAACCAAGATGATCCGTATCTCTAAGAAGGCGCAGCATCTCTATACGGGTGTTGTTTGACATACCTGCAAATCATGTCAGAGAGCCAAAAAGAGAGTCTTGAATCGGGTAAATAAATGTCGCTTCTGCCAAGGGAGCCGCGTTTTGAAACGAAGGACTTGCCCTTTAAAGATACGGTAGGCGTTTAGCTGTCCTTTGCCCTCGCAGCCACACCGTCCAGCTGAGATTATATTATAACAAATTCGCCAGGATTAAACCGTGCGCGGCTCTTCTGTTCTCTCCTACCAGCACTTTTCTAAATTATTATTATTATTATTTTTAAAAAGAGACGCTTTAACGCTCCCTCTCTGGTATTTATCTATCTGTCCCAAAGCGGGATTGCTGTACGGTTGCCTGAAGCTTAATTTACCAGGTTATTTATAAGCAACGGAGTTCCTCGAACTTGGAAAGCACGTGTTGTTGTTTTTTCCTTAGCCCACTTTACGAGGTTTTGTTTACCTCTGCAAACTGGGCAGGAAATCTGTCGGCCCGAGTGGACCAGAAAACGCTATTTGGATAAGCTTGAGGGGTTTTGAGAGGGAAAGCAAACGATTTTCAATCAGGCCGAAGATTATTGCAAGCCGAGAGAAAACTCCGCTGTCCCGTTCGCCGTTCCCAAGACCCGCTCGGCCCCCGAGGGAGGGGAAGTGTGTGGTGGTGGGGAAGCGAGCACCGCCAAGCCTAACCTCCGACCCGCCGGCCCAAGCAGGCTCCCGGCGCTCCCTTTTACCTGTGCAGAGAGAGGCGCAGGCTGTCAGGACAAGCGCCGTAGCAGCGCCCAGTCCGGAGCGGAGCGCTCGCCTCATGACGGCACATGGGAGAAGTTCTGGCAGGTGGGAAGGAGAGAGACGGAGGGGGGGGGGCGCGCCTGTGGGGCTTACAGGGCCGGCCGGAGAGGCGAGCCTCCCCCACCCCCCGCCCACCCCCCCAGCCGTGCGACGCGGAGCTCTTCGCCACCAGCGACTCCCGGCGCCGCTGGAAGAAGGGGGCGGGGGTGGCCCCCCCCCCCCCCACGCCCGCCACGACTCCGCCTTGCCCGGTCACACCCCCTTGCCCTGCGGAGGGCTTGCCCGGGTGAAGAAGCCGCCTGGAGGGTCAATGCTGGCGGACAGGCGGACAGGCGGGCGCAAAGGGAGGGACGGTCCAAGTAGCTCGCCTTGACACAAGGGGCTGTCCAGCCACCTCGAAGGAAAACGGCGGGTCGAAGGGTTGGTTGTTGCACCTCAGAGCAGAGGGGCCGCCGGTGGCTGCAAGGGCTGTTTCGTTTCTGGCGGGTAGTTCCAGGCGAGGCGGCGGGAGCGCGCCAAAATCACCGCCCTGTCAACCCCTCGGCTGCCTTCCCTCTTCAGCGCACTTCTTACAGGTAGTGCTCAACTTACAACAGTGCATGTAGTTCGCGGTTACAACGGACACTGAAAAAAGTGATTTATGACCGTTTTTCACACTTATGACGGTTGCAGCATCCCGGTGGTTCACGTGTGGGTTGCTTGGCAACTGACTCACAATCATGACGGCTGCAGAGTTCATGCGATCCGCTTTTGCGACCTTCTGTCAAACAAAGTCAATGGGGAAGCCAGATTCACTTAAAAACCACCCTATTAATTTAACAAGTGCAGTGATTCACTGAAGAAAATGTGGCAGGAAAAGTCATCAAATGGGGCAAAACCAGCTTAACAAATGTCTCACTTAGCGACATAAATTTTGGGCTCAAGTATGGTCGTAAGTCGAGGACTACCTGTATTGTGAAGGCTGGGTTTTGTTTTTTCTTCATAAAAGCATAAAGGACATACAGTTAGTCCTCCGCTTACAAACACAGTAGAGCCCAACGTTTATGTCGCTAAATAAAAAACATTTTAAAGCGAGCTTTTGTCCCATCTGACGACCTTTCTTGACACAGTTGTTAAGGGAATTGCTATGATTGTTAAATTAATAAGATGGTTGTTAAGTGAACGTGGCTTCCCCCGTTGACTTCGCTTGTCAGAAGTTTGCAAAAGGGGATCATGTGACCCTGGGACACTGTAACCATCGTAAATGTCCAGCCAAGGGACAGGAACCGTGTAAAGTCAATTGGAAATTACAACTGAAATGTAAACAAGTGTATGCCATGTACCAGTGGTGGGATTCAAATTTGTTTACTACCAGTTCTTTGGGCATGGCTTGGTGGGCAGGGTGTGGGTTGGTTGGGGGGGATACTGTAAAATCCCCATTCCCTCCCCACCCCACTAACCTGCTTTCCAGCTCCGTTCTCCTGTGCAGGGCAACAAAAGAAGACCCAGCCAATCAGCTGGGACTTGGGAGGCAGAGAATAAATGGGGGCAGGGATAGTCAGAGGTGGTATTTTCTGGTTCTCCAAATTACTCAAAATTTCCACTACTGGTTCTTCAGAAGTGCTCAGAACCTGCTGAATACCACCCCTGCCATAGAAAATACGCAATACAACTGCATTGCTTTTATTTTGAAGGTGCTATTTTTCACCCCAATTTACACATATGCCTGTGTGCGAGCTTATGTACTTTCACAGCCCTATCAGTTCGGCCCTCCACAATAGTCCCAGTTTCTCATGTGGCCTCTTGGGAAAATTAATTGCCCACCCCTGCCATAGAAAATCCACGAATTATTATTTCTATGTGGAATGTCTGAGTACAGGCAGTCCTCAACTTACAACCACAATTTAGCCCAAAATTTATGTTGCTAAGCAAGCCATTTCTTAAGTGAGTTTTGTCCCATTTTACAACTTTTGTTGCCACATTTGTTAAGTGAGTCACTGTAGTTTTAAGCTAGTAACACGGTTGAATCTGGCTTCCCCATTAATTTCGTTTGTCCAAAGGTCACAAAAGGTGGTCACACGATCCTGGGACAACTGTCGTAAATATGAGTCAGTTTCCAACTGTTTTAATTTTGATCATGTGAACTTTTTTCACATGATTACATCACTTTTTTCAGTGACGTAACTTTGAACAGTCACTAAATGAACTGTTATAAGTTGAAGACTACCTGTATATGAATATCGCAAGCATTTCCTGTTTACTAGCTGAGGTGGCAAGGGACATTTTTTTTGCCCTCCAATGCCTATGGCTTTAGTGAAAGCTTTTCCATTTTATTTCAGGATTGTTAAAAAACTTGTTTAAGTTTCTACCCTATTCTATATAACACAGGACAAACAGCTCAAAGCTGTTTTTGCAGCAAAACTGCTTTCAGGATATAGCACAATTATTATATAATGAAAATAGGTTATTTCCCACATCGACACAAAAAAGCTGGTTGATATTTAATTATTATTATAATATACTATTAAGTTTATAGTATAACTTTTCTTAAACTTCTCTGTATCATAATTTGAAGTTAGTTTTTCCTGGTGACTAAGCCTTTTCAGGATTATAAATATCTTGAACATGGACATAAAAACCAGTCATTCATACAGTGCTCAATAAGCTCACTTATTCCTGCCGATATACATTTTGCAAGGAGTTCAGATTAATCAGATTAATAGTTTTGCAAATAACTGTTATATAAAGACACCTGGTATACTTTAAAAATTACATTCATCTAAAAAAAACTGTATAATATGCCTTTAAAGCACAGCATACAGAGGGGAATAGAAGAGGGCATTTTATAAAATTATATTCCAGATCAAGATTAGGAGGGCTTCAGGGTAAAATTAAGATAGCTCAGCTGCTTGTTGATCTAATTCAAGTTCCCAGCAGGTGGCAGCATCTTAAGTATTTAGCATAGCCAGATCTGGTTAGTAACTGGATTGGAGATTTGCAAATACAAATGGAAATAAAGATCAGAGGAGAGCGGAAAAAAGTGTAAGGTAAAAAATAAAAGGAAAGAAAAAATAATAACTTATAACTCTTTTTGGTGCAGTAGAATACAAAATGCTTTACATTTCTGATAGATACAAGCCATTTCTACAACAAACAACAGAGTTAACCTAGTCATCAAAGCTAAGATCAAAATTTCTTTTTTTCCTCTTTTGAGTATGAAGTCCAGAACTGGTTTCCAAGTGAAAACAGGATAAATGGTAATTATCTTTTATTACAATTCATCACTTTTTCCATCTATTCTTCCATTGTGGGAATTGACACAAACCATTTCCATACTGTTGCCAAGAAAACTATATTGTCATAGCCATGGAATTAACAGGAATAAAGCTTGACTTGGAAGTCATTGCGTCCAATTCTTAACAGTTCAGTTTTTTAAATGTAAACAAGTTGTGTTCATAAACAAGTTGCGTGCATAAGCGCACCAACGTCCCTGTCCTATTGTTTCTTTTATATATTTTTTAATTTTTCTTATATGTATCCATGTATTCGTAACTATGTTTTTGCTTATACCTATTATCTTGTAAGCAATTGACAAATAAAAATAAATAAATAAATAAAAAAAAATTCTGCATATTGTATAAATTCAGAGATGCTGTTTGAATTTAGTGTATCTTTTATAGCTTCAAACTGACCAAACTACATGCTTTTTAAAAACCTTACACTTAAAGCAGTAAATGTCAGGCTTGAATCCCAAAGAAGCCTGATATTATGGTTTACCTTATATTATTTTGCAATGTTGAATAAGCTATATAACATCAGTCTGAAAGGATCCCAGTGAACAGTTGTTGCCATCTCAGTTTTCAAATAGTTAAGAAACTGCCAAAAACTATTGTATTTCACTGTATGCTTATTATAATACTCCTAGTACTACAGTTTGCTTTTTGTTCTTACTGAATATCTCAAACTTGCCCTATTTCCTAATAGTTCTGATTTACTTAGTCCCCATGCCTGTCCGTTTGTTCTGTATTTTTGTGACAACTAAGTGTCCACAACTGTATTCACTCTATAACTTCACAAATGAGATCTTGATATTTGATAAAGAATACCAGCATTGTAAGGGATCTTGGACAACTTCTAGTCCAACCCTGTCCTTGAACAGAAGACCATATGCCATTTCAGACAAATGTCTGTCCAAATCTCTATTTAAAAACCTCAGTGATGGAGTAGCCGCAATTTCTGCTCATATTGCTACATAGGTATCCCAGAGTAGCCTTAATTTTTGTCATTGTATCAAATCACAAACATTTTGGAACATTAAGGGTTAAAACCATTAAACATTTGTGCCCAGAGCACTGCAACACTGTTTTTGATGTCAATTAAGGAAACCGTGTTAGATTACAAAGTGTCTGGAATATTATCAATAACCTGTATTGATGGACATCCAGTAGCCCTTTACACTAATGGTTTTGAGGAGGTCAAATGGTTTGAGAGATATGCTCAACTCACTAAAATTATTATGTATTAAATGTAAGACAATTTTATTGTACCAATGCTTTCAGCTTGCCATGATGAGTAGCTTTTGATTTCTTCTGGATATTACTTTCTGGCAAAACATGTGGAAACCTTTTATCTCTCTTTTTTCATATAATTTTTATTCAAACTTTTTTTTAAAAAAAGATTAAAACTAATCCAAGCTAAGACGAGAGAGAGAGAGAGAGAGAGAGGGAGGGAGGCAGGGAGAGAGAGAGAGAGAGAGAGAGAGAGAGAGAGAGAGATACTATGTGGTTTCTGATGTTCTTCACAGGAGTTACAAGTACAATTATATTTTAACTTCCTTTTTTAAAGTTACATCATAATATTCTTTCTATAATCTATTCTGTCTAATCATCAAAGCCATAAAACATAAGTTCTTTTTTCTTCATTTTAGCATGAATAAGAGTTTTCAAGTCACCAATAAATGTAGACAGTGTCTTTTTTATTAGCTTTTCTATTAGCTATTCAAAACAATGAAAAACACTTCATCCTGAAATAAATTAAGATGACTTCGTAGCATCCAATTCATAATTCCAATGGACAAATCTATTAAATTGTCCTAGTATGGTAACTGAGATTGCACGTTG